TTGTCTACCAAATGAGTTCCTGATAATTAGCATTGTGATGCAGCAGCAGATGTAAGATGTTGGGGTAATGGGTTCATTCTATGAGCAGTTTGTCTCTGATGTTCCTTGTGTTGGGAGCTGCTACTTTACAGGCACAATGTATCACCGTTGTTAAGTGCTAGGAGCCTAATTTGTTGCCAGTTTCTGAAATTGAATAAATTAACTTTCTTTAGATCTAGCCGAACGATAGTGTCAGAGGCTGTATCTTGCAAACTTGTGATTTCAGGTTTTCAGGTACAGGTTCAGTGGGGATGGAAACTAATAAATAAATTATGCTGAAGCAGATCTGAAAAGGAAACTTCAAATAGAAAGTAGAACACAAACTTAATTTAAAGTGGCACTCCAAGCAGGTAAATAAATACACAGTTAAAATACATATCTGTGAACTATGTTAACTGCCAAAATATTTGTAATTCTGTTCACCTAGTTTTGTGATTCACAAAGTTCTTCTACTTTATACAACCAGACAGGTAGCACTAATATTTTTTATTTCAGCTATGCGGCTTTCTGAGTCAGCTGACTGTTTATTAGACAACAAATTTGCATCACAGCCCAACCATTGCACTACTGATTCCTATCCAGAGACCATTGACCAAATATTTTCTTGGAATTCCTTTTTAAACTCTTTTCTGCTTTAATTTAGCTTAAAGATATGGAAATATGCCTGAATCTCCTCTTTACATCCTTAGAATATTAATGGAGTGTTTCCTCACCTGTGGCAAGTATGCCATTGGTAGTACATATCCTTACTATAGGCTGTACAAGTTAAGGTCAGCATTTATGTTAAGTAAAGCCTTTTGGCAAGCGCATTGGCTTTCCCAACAGAGTGTATGCACCTATTTCTGTGAACTCCAGAGCCTGTATGAAGAGAGCTCCCTACTTATAGGACGCTGTACCCAAATCCCAAGGGCCCAGTCAGACTATGGGGGTGATTTACTAACCTAAACACACACACACACACCAGGTGTGTGTGATTTTCACACAGCAAAACGTATTTATCAACCAAAAAGTCTCTAAAAGCATATTTCCACTAATGCCATATATGGAAAAATCATGCACATGATGCATATATAATGCTGCTTCACAGTTTAGACAAAAATGGTTAGCTCATGCATTTACATTCCTGCATTCATCAACGCAAGCAACACAACATAGAGCTAATTTACACATCACCTTGCAATTCATGCAAGGCTTTGCACAACACACCTGCTGGGAGTGTACACACTACAAAGGTGTTTAGATTCCACCCATAGATCATGCTGGGAGGGAACACACTGCAGAGGTGTATACACGCTCGTGGTGTGTTTATAAGGTTAGTAAATCAACCCCTATGCGTCTGTTAATGCAACAAGCTGAGGAAAGGTCCCTTAAAAGAAACAAAATGGACATTTTTATGGTACACAGTGGTTTCGCAAACCAAATGTCATTCAGTTAGGGGTTTAATCTACTTTTAATGTCTTCTTGGTTACTGTTTCAGAAGAAGGAGGCCATTTTAAAAAGTGAAACCACAATTTACTTAAGTACCCCAGGTCATTCAGAATAGTATTAAAACTACATAATCAGCATAACAGACAATCAATCATCCTTTGCATGTAGCTGGTCAGCAATGACAGCCCCTATATTCCTCTTATGATAAGATTCCTTTAATTGTACAGGATCTGTAACAGGTTGAGTCATTTGTTGCTCATGTGAGATCATTTGTATTGTATGGCGCATTCTGGGCACAGCCAACCTTTATTGTAAGCAAAAAAGTTCTGTAAAATACCGGCGACTGCTAGTTTTAAGCAACAGTATCTGGAATATAGGTTCAGACTTTAAAGGGGCTGCTTCTGTTTAATTTGGGCGATGAGTCCATTTTAGGAGTAGAATGAAACAGAAGTAATGAATCAGCATGATCATTCCTATGTCTCGTCTGCAGGTTCCAAGATTGACAGTATTCACTATATTAGCAGCTCTCAATTTGAGCTTGTTAATTCACAGCTGCAGCAGAATCTTGTATATAAGTACTTGTGGACACTTTGATGACAGTAGAATTTGTATCCCTGCTAGCATCATCAACTCTCTCCATACTGCACACTGTGGATACAGCAATGAAGGATCATCAGTGCCTTCCACTGCACAAGAAGCACTTGTATCTCCAACTCATCTGGCTTTGATGATCACTCATTCATAGACACCACTCTGAGGCTGATTGAGATCCAGTCTAACAAGTGCCTGTCTTAATAAACCTCCTCCTTGACGTGATGAAAGCAAGCCACATCTTGTTAACCTTGAGCCTGGGCGCTGGGAGGCACAGAGACTTGAGATTGCTGATCTGAAAGAAAAGGAAATAAGGGTCTGAGATTCTATGATTAATTACAAATACAGTTTGCAAAAATCAGGAGAGGGTGACCAATCAGGGATGACTTTTGAGATGCCACACAGATGGTACCAGTTACTAATGCTGAAGGACTTTTTCTGTAAAAAAGCACATTGTTTTAGTATTTCATAACAGGAGGGTTGTGTTAAAGTTCACCTGTCATTATATGCAGAGAAATATGGGTCCTGCCACTACTGCCTTCCCTTTGAAAATTCTATTTGCCTGGATGTGTCTGGCTTCTCTGCTTCTGAACTATAGAGTTGAGAACAAGCGTGCAACAAATTAAAAGTTGTGGGAAAAGTCAGCATGTAGCCCTATACTTGTTGCAGTGACACAGAAATTATTGAAGAAATTGCATTAGTCTGGTAGCTAGACAATTTCAGGATATTGATTCAATCATTCTAGCTACATATGTCTCCTATGAGGAGTATACCATAGATGTAAAGCTGAACATCCGATAACACAGGCATCTGGGTCTCTAAACTCAAATAGCTGCATTGACTGACTGTACAGGATGCGGGAAGCGGGCTGGAATTGTAAGTTATCAGGAGGAAAACAATAGTGATTGGTTGGAGTTTTCTTGGCTGGCGGTGTCAGCTTCATAGTCTAAAGATCATGGTCTGATCTGGCCAGATATGTTCTACTTTAGCTAGAATGATAAAATACATACAGACTGCCACAGCCATCCTTTTTTTAAAAAAAACAAAAGATATTTTTGGCCGATCTGTAATGTTTCCCGTTTTAAGTGTCTGGACATACTCCCCATATCTGGTTGCGTTGACGTAAACGCTGTTGGGTGATTCAAGTGTGCATGTTTATTGGAAGATTTTCTGGCTGGCAGATTGTGTCCTCCTCCCCCCTGATGTCAGTGACCAGATACAGAGTTCACAGCTGGTCTTTTGACCTCTGACAGATCAATACTGTAATATCCCTGAAAACCATTTTCACATGGACAGCGTCTCCAGATGTCAGTCTTCTCAGTAATGCAAATATTAGACTTCTTAAAAAAATTATCTTGTAATTGATTTCAATGTAAACCTCTCACAAACCTGAGCAATTCAGCTGAGGATATGATGACAAATACATAAGCAGAGGTTCCCTGCAGTGAAAGCCACACATCACAATCAGCATTTCCAGAGATATAGTTAGCTGACATTATCTGCAAACCTTGACATTTCCTATAAATGTTGAACTGGGCCTTTTCCCTCCCACCTCTAGTGTGGTCTGATTGGTCATGTGATAAACCAATGAATAGTTAGGCTTGGGAGGGGGGTCCACTAAACATTGCATGTGGCTAGTGTCCACTAGGTAGCGCAGAAGTGAGTCGTGGTGCCTTGCGTTTTTACAACACAAGGAACTGTCTACGATTGTTTGTTTCTTTTCTTAACTGTATATGGAGTGTACAATGTGTACATTCCATTCATGTCTCCTCATGGCAGCTCTTCACGTTGCACTGTGGTGACCTTCGGTGGTATCCAATCCACTGAAGAAAAATGCAGCATGTCTGATGCTTATTTTATCGCAGTCCACCGAACATCACACCCGCCTTGTGGTATGAACAGCGATAGTCGTTGGTCTGGTGCAGAGAAACGCCAGTCACCGCACCTAGTGCAGACGGGCTTTAACAGTTGAGATTTGCATATAACATCATCTGTCTAAATATCAGAGCCTACTGATTGTTTTTGATATGTGATTTTTCACTGAAGGCAACCTCTGCTTGTATAATTGCAATATATGCTCAGTTGAATTGCACAGGTTTGTGACAAATTAACTTTATTTATTAAGTGTATTTTTGTTTTGACAGTATGAACTAGCAGGGTCTTTTTTTTTTCTCCTTGATGTGAAACTTGCAATGCTAGTGTGAAAACAGATCTATATTAATTCTCCCACCCACAGTGGACCTCCTGCCGCAGACTGACAATCAGTAGATCAGCTCTGCTGTCACACAATGCCACAGTTAATTAGGGGCAATAGAACCCTAGGCTGAAATGTACTAATGACTCCAATAGCATGACCTACTGGCCTCAAACCCTGAACTTCTCTGCAGGTTGTCAAATAGGATGGATTGAGTTGGGTTCTTTGCTATTGACTTGCATATGTAAATTATTTTGTGTGTATGAATGTGTGTGCTTATACTCCTATATACAGTATCGTATGATTATTTAGGTTTTTTTATAGACACGGAGAAGCAGCTGTGCTTTTCACCACCATCAGCCTTTGGGATTGGCTTGGTGTCTTTTTTGTTATAAATACTGATATTTGTGTTCTATTTTTATCTATTTGTTATGCAATATACAGCAAACAGTATAAGGGACTTCCTTTCATCGGTTTATCACAGTCAGAGATTATTAGCTGCCATGGGTTATTACACTTTGTACATCACACTTTTGTTTGGTGTGTGTGTGCGTGTGTATGTGTATATATATATATAATTTTCAGTTATTTTTTGTGTGCTTTGAAATGTTGTGAATACAATTGCTAAGTGACAGATCATCACAGCCATGAGCATTATGCTGTCATACATATTAACACTAGATTGAAACCCAAGTGTTGTGACTTCTTACCTCATCCTTACCCCTTTTCTTCTTTCTCTTCATTTCAGCATGCCGAGGAATGCTGTGTGGCTTTGGCGCTGCTTGTGAGAAGAGCAGCACAGACCCATCTCAAGCAACCTGTGTTTGCAAGAAAACTGCCTGCCCATCTGTGGTGGCACCAGTCTGCGGATCCGACTACTCCACCTACAGTAATGAGTGTGAACTTGAACGTGCCCAGTGTAACCAGCAGCGGAGAATTAAAGTAATCAGTAAAGGGCCTTGTGGTAAGTTCACTGATTGTCAGCCAAGCCCGTACATAGATTTCCTATTGCCCTATGAACGTGTGAATCATACTTTCCCTTCATGAGGCTCCACTTAATAATGATAGCAGTTATCATGTAACACCCGTGACATTATTGCTATGAAATCTGAAGCTGGTATGCATTAACAGAGGCATTGTGCTGCATGTCTCAGTTCCCCCTGGACAATGCAGACTATCAGTCAGAAGACTGGAGAAATAATGATGATTGCTTTGGCTCACCAGAGTTGCAGAGTCTTGTTGCAGCTACACTTGAGCATCCATTGAGGGCTAGAGGTGAAATGTTCCATTCTTAAAAAGTAACTTTATGGTAGCAGAAATTAGAGTGACAGTGTATCTCTTGCCCACTACAACCAGTCTTATTGCTTGTATAGTTCCTTATACCTTTGCTCCAGTTTCACACACCCTTAGCGTCTATATTTTGAACTTTGGTACTACCATGCCCCAGTCTTGCCCTGAGCATGAGTTTTGCAATGGGCTATAGCCCAGCTGTTACCGCTGAATTCTGTGAGACAGAACTCCAAAAAGACTGCTGTATATTTTCATCCTCCTTCATCAATGATTTGTGCAACTTCAGCCGCAGGATTTGTACCTATAAAACTCCCGGTAGGTGTGTAATAACACACTCTATAGTTGTTGGATCAAAAGCCTGATCCAGTCCTCCCGAGCAGCTCTGTGATTAGATGTGCTATACGAGGCCTTTTCTCTCCCTCTTTTTACGTCCCTCTAATGGGATATATAATGAATGGCCTCTTTCCTCTCCTGTTATATGGCTCCCTGGCCATACATATACTATAATGTGCCGTCTTTCCCTTTATTGCCCATGCAGCACCATCATCAAAGCCTTGCTGCATGGCTGTCAGGTACCTGTTTTTTTTCCAAGGCCTGATAAAATGCACATAGGCATTTGCTTCTCCCTGAGCAAATGTATAACACATAACGTAACCTTTTTACCATGCACTCTCCATTTCTGATGCATAAAGAATACTCCTTTTTTCCTTGATTACATATTCAGAAAACTGGCTGTTTCCTGTGTGCTCCTAAATTTCTGTTGCAGTACAAAAAAATAAAATCTATACATGATGGCCTCCATTTTTCCTCCCGAGCTCCAGAGGAAATGCATTATTCACTAACTGTCTTCTATGCAAATCCCTGACCAGGTAAATAGTGTTAATCCCTCCATTTTTCTGCATTGAAAGATGCTTCAACCCTATTTAGTGTCCGGTTGGCCCATTCTGCCAACAGCTGACCTTGTACTTGGACTGGAGCAGTATGTGGCCTTCTGGGTAAATATATCTATATTATCTACTTAGAACAGAAAATGAGCTGTTAAAAAATAATAGTACATAAAATGCTAATTCTGGTTTATTATTGGGCCCTGACAACCTAATAATCTATTCAGCCTTCACACATTTGGCCTTTGTTTGCAGTCAGTGAATTACTTATTGATGCATCTTTTCCACAACAGTAAAAGGCTAATAGGATATTTTATAGATCAGGAGGTCAAGGCCGGACCTTAATTCTCTGCACCCTGCTGCATCTCCCTATGAGCACAGCTCCTTTTCAGTGATGCTAATAGAACTGCATTGTCAGACTGCATGCTGCTGTTAGGAGTTAGGCACTGTGTAAACGAGACCCAGTCCCCTTTCTCTCCAACTAAATTAACTTGACCTTTTTCTTTCACGTTGCTGAGGCTTGTCTCTGCACTCCACGATGCCCTCTCTCCTTTCACATGTGAAGTCAGCCTGGAGGTAACTGCTGTGAATGGGGCCATGCAGCCTACATATAGCATCCTCCCTTTGAATGAGAAATGTTTATTAACTGGTGTATGTGCAAAAACCGGAGAGTTGGCATGTCTAAATCCGGGCCATCATAATCCCTCAAGGCCCTAGTGGCAATGGAATATAGAGTGGATTTTTTTTTTTCTGTACATAATTCTAATGTATGCCTGTAAATCTGGATGGATTGTTTGGTCTACCAAAGCCTGTGCCCTTTACATTTATAGAAAAATGAATTCTATAGGCTATATACAATCGTCCTGTTTATTAGCATGCACTAGTTCATTACATTGAGGAAGACTTATTTCTATTTAAATCTTTTTTTCTTACAGTCGTGAAAGTAGCCAGCATAATTTACATAACTGTTTCAATGTGAAATGTATTTAAAGCTAAGCTTCAGACACCACATGAAAGGTGTTTTTAGTAACTTAATATACAGCTGTCATGAGAGCAGTGGGCAGTGCTACTACAGAAATTGTATTGTTCAGTAACTTAAAGTGGAACTTTATCTTTTTTCTTTAAATTGCTAGGAGCTTCTGTTTTATAGCAGAAGAGACTTTACCTGTCTCATCTGCTAAAACAAATAAAGAAAATCCTCCCTCTCCTGACAATGTTTAAGTTAATGGAACCTGCCTGGTACCCATGCGTACTTTCACGTACGCTTTGGTTCATATGGGATTGCAGCCGCGTGCCTGAGATGATATGACTTGTGTGTGCATGCACTGGAGTTTTATCAGAAGCTGCCGCCCCATTGCAGATGAGCAGCATGGGATCCGGAAGACAGTTGGAGAAGATGGCGGCTCTCCAAAAATGCTGAAGGAGCAGGTGAGTACAGTTCCGCTTTACACTTGTAATGAAGGAATTATATTGGCTGCTGTTGCTGACCTAGTTCCCTGGCTGTCAGGCTGATGCTTTGGCTTTAATAATTTCAAGTCATAATTAACTTTAATAATCCGAGTCACTGACCCAGAAACTATAAGGAATTGAAACACTTTTCTTACAGTCATTTACAAAATGCTTGTTCAAGTCCTGTGGCTAAAATGATACAGCCAGGTAACTAGCTTTTTAGATGTATGCCAGCAATTACAGCCTTTATGCTTTTTTACATTACAGGGTGTACATTAATGGAAATCTGTACAGAGAGAAATACAGGGACCTCCCATTGCTGACCTCCTGTTAAATATACTAGGTGCAAGGCTGTCTCTGCCTTCAGTACTAACCTGTATCAGAACTCCTGGCCTGTTTAATTGACAGGTGGGCAACTAGTATTGTCAGAAGGAGAGAACAGCAGTGGCAGCTCCTTAATTGTCTCAGAGTAGGTTTTCTTTAAAAGACTAAAGGTGCCCATACACCTTACGACCATCGCAAGACCTACGGAACACCGTGGAAGTGTTTTTTTTCTTTTCTTAATGGTTACCTTTTTCAGCTGCTAGAACTCTTGATACTAAAATATGTGCACTGGTGTTTCTCACATACCTTGCCTTGGCACCATGTTCGGGGGTGTATTCATTTGAAATAAAACTATTTGTCCAAGGGCCTAAAGCAGGGGCCCAATCTACTTGTCCCTCTTGGCAATCTACTTGTCCATATACAAAACATTATTTTAACCAAAACCGTATTTAACCATACTAAGAAGGGCTTCTTATTGCGCAGCGCGGTCTGGTGGCATCACCATTTGTGAGCGAAATTCTAAATCCATAGCACAGGGATGTACAGATAGTACTTAAGTACTGGTGGAGGGAAAGGACTGTTCGCCGAAAGGTAAGTATGGGTGGGCATATTTGAGCAGGTGCTTCCATTTTCCCCAATTACTTGGGAAAGTGAACTTACCCTTTAATGCACACTGTGCGTTAGAGAGGACTTCTACTCAGCTACCACAATATGGCTCACAGTGGAATGGGGGCAGTACACACACACAATGCCACATGGATGCATGGCGGGGACCGGCAGATGTGCCTTCAGTCCAGCACTGCTCCTCCACTCAGGGTTTGTCACTACAATTAGAAGCAGGAAACGTATAAGGATACACTATCCATTATAGGGCCTAGAACAAAGGTGCACCCTTATAACCGCCCCGCCACCACCTCTCCGGTACCCAACTCCCTTACTTATCTTGTATTTACTTATTTACTTTTCTATCATTTCTCACTTTATTACTACCATACGGGGGGAGGGGGCAAATGCAAGCTGCTTCAAGTGATCTGGGCAGCTGTACAGCCACCCAGATCACTTGTACAAAACGAGTGGTGGCTCCCCTGCTGAGGTAGCCTAAAACGATAACCCTATTGCTTGCCCGGCAGCAGGGCTAAATGAACGTAGAAAAAAACACCTGCCCGTCGCACTGAACTGCATGTCTCAGGTGTTGGACGATAGGATTTGCACATACCTGATGTTGTTGGAAGAGGGGGGGTAAAGATTTGTCAGAGACTGCAATTCTGGTTACTACCTTATCATTGAAAGCGCTTTATTGGGCAGGTACAAACCTGCTTAACCTGGATGAATAAAATGACACAAACCACATGATGAAGTCTTGCTCTGAACAAGTACCAATTAATGGCACACTATGGGGTCAAGCAGTAGAGAATTGTCATCCACCATGGGGATAAGGGACCATTTTGACAATAAAAGATCCTGCCCAGCACACTGATATCACTGGTTGCCAAGAGCTGGACAGAGAGTTCTAGGTTGCCAAGAGCTGGGAGGGGAGATGTAGATGGCCCTTACACATCTCCCAGCACTTAGCAACCTGGGACGCCCTGGCCAAAAATGAGGCTACCTTATTATAGTGATGGCCCTGATGGCAAATTCTAACTTTTGGATTTTTGCATTAGAATGTACACTTATCTCTTTACTGATGTACTCTGTGCTGCAGCTTTATTTGTAAAACTGCCTGATAATGCCGTTTTAGGGCACTGAATACTCAATACGACACAGTAGGTGGTCTTTCATTTGCTATCATGTATTATCTTTTTTTACTAACAATTTTTTGCAAGAACTTTAGTACTTGTTCCTCTTTGGAAGGTCTTGAGTAGTGTCGCACCTTATTGTAATCTCTGGTAGCAAGCACTGTTCATTTGTATGCTACTCAGATGAACTTCAGCTCTCAGCAAACTCAGGGTAATTTGCATACTTAAAATATTGCAGCTGATGCACGTCAAAAATGTTTTTTCAAGGCAGTGTATAGAAGAAAGCTTTTTAAAAAAAACCATGGGAAGTCATGAATCTAGACATGGCAAAGATCTGCTGTCCAAGTCTATTCATAGGCAAGATCTATTGGGGTAAGGCTGACACAGATCATAATCATCATAAAGGACACGCACCACGTAGTGCATTAAAGGAATCACTTTTTTTTTAATATACATAAAAGTAGAGCTGCAGCTAACGATTATTTTCATAATCGATTAGTTAGCCGATTATTAAGTTCGATTAATCGATTAATCGGATTAAAAAAAAATCTCCAGTGATGGACTACACACTCTCAAGTGGCGGGATAGCAGTGCAGTTCTAGGCTGGATGGCAGAGGATCAGGTTGCGACTCCTACAGCATTGCCCTCATTGCTGGGAAACAACTTCTATAGCAGAGCAGGCATCTGCTTCCAGGTATAGGCAAATAAGCAACTGGTTTCAGAAGCACTACTCCTTTCTCAAGCTTTTCTTATACTATAGTGACCTACCAGTGATTTAATATAGAAAGCTGTTTGTTTTAGATCTACATCTAATGTGCTTGCACAATTTGGTTAGAATTATTTTTTCTCATTGCTTTGCCTTCGATTTAGGTTCCCGAGATCCTTGCTCATCTGTGTCCTGCAGTTATGGAAGCACCTGTGTGCGCTCAACAGATGGACAAACTGCAAAATGTGTCTGCCCAACCACCTGTGCTGGAATACCCGAGAATATTGTGTGTGGTAGTGATGGCAAAGATTATCGAAATGAATGCGCCCTCAACAAGCAAGCCTGCGATAATCAGGAGAACCTCTACAAAAAATTTGAGGGCCCATGCGGTACGTACTACAGGGCGATTATGCTTGTGTTTTGGCCAAGAGATTTGGCATGCTGATAGTTTAAAATCTCTCAGCATTTCAGCTTTTCCTGTGTTATGAGACTGGCCCTTTATTTAGACTCCAGAAGATTCTGGGGTTAGTTAAAAGGTCAAAGTGTTTTTTAGTCATGGAAAATTTAGATTGGGGTTGGGAACTGAAAGTAGAAGTTGCATATAGCAATTAATCAAGTTGCAGCTGATATGTTTTTAGAACAAAGTTGAAAATCAGCCTGGTTGATATGAAGCATGCCTAATTTCCCTTTTCCCTTTCCAATAGTTCTGTACGTCAGCCCATTGTATATTGCTTCCTTTAAGAACTGCGATTCATAATGGTAGCATAATTTACAGGATTAGGTGGGAGGGAACCCAGGGCAACCTAACAAAAGGGTTCCCAAAATCCCCAGCTTCATTAAAAACGATGTACTATTTCGGTTATAAATAATAATAAATATTGAGCAATTATCAAACCCAATAATAATATGCAATTCATACAAGCTCTGGGGAGAGATTTAGCCTGTGGAAGCTTGGGGGCAATGGCAAAATAACCTATGTTGCCAACAAGTGAACTTGTATATAATATAATAAACAGCACTTCTTTGTTCAGCGTTATAAGCCAGAACGTTAGAGACTAATAAGAGAAAAAATAATTGGCAAATTGCTTACAGGTGATGGATTTCTGTTGGGAATAGCGGACTGTCTGCTCCAAGCAAAATCACTGTATCTCATTTAATGCTTTTCCCCCCCTTATATTCCCCCAAGATCGCTATTCCAATATATTGTTTTGTTTATTTTGGATCAAAAGGATAGAGTTGTCTTGTACCCATATAATGAAATTAGTAATAACACTTATGTTTTAGCAGTGTGTGCTGCTTTTATACTTGTTCCTGTAAATTATTGTTTCACTGTGGCTATGAATGAACATCTATTTTTCTAAAATGAAGAATCATCTATTAAAGCTAACCTATCTTTTATTTATGGTCTATTAAAGGTATTCTACAAAAGGGAATGAACGCCATCTGTATTGTCTTTAGTAATTAGTCAGACAAGGCTGCTTATCAGACTTCCCTATGCAAACAGACACCACCTTTTTGACCATGTTACAGAAATTTGTAACCAACAATTGAAAACAAATATGCTATAGAGGGCTGCATTATATGCAAAGATAATGGACAGTTAATTCTTGCAATCATTTTGAGAAACAGAAGATCACTGCACTATTTGAATTACAGAGAGACTTGTGACTACTCCTAATAGCCCGCAAACCGCTTCAGTTCTGCTGCTAATCTAACATCAAATGATCAGAGTTGGCATAGCAAAAATAGCTAACCCTTTTTTTTTTCTATTTTTAGCTGCCCCTGGCATAGTTCCACCAGTATCTTTTGTTAAATACAGCTTCACATGCAGATGCTACTGAAGAAACAACAGCTGATTTTGAATGGTTGCCATAAGCAAGAGTTAGTTTCTGAAAGTGTTTCTGGTTGCCTCTACCATAACCCAGTCTTGTAGGCTATTTTAAATGGGCCCATTGCACAGTAGAGTATCCTTTATGTGAGAATCAGAATTTAGAGCACTGTTTGGCTGTCAGAGGTTACACTACTGACACTAGTTGCTTTGCCTTATTAGTAAAGAAGTATCAACAGGCGTTGTCTGCTACTACATCGAATTCACTAAACTGACTGCCTTATTTACCTGGTGTTTTGACAGACCCGTGCAAGGGAGCCCTAAATGATTTGAACAGAGTATGCAGAGTGAACCCACGCACTCGGAAGTTGGACATGCTTTCCCGACCTGAGAATTGCCCATCCCGCAGGGAACCAGTATGTGCTGACGATGGGGTGACCTATGATAACGAGTGTGTAATGACCAGGACTGGAGCCATGAAAGGGATAGAACTGGTGAAGGTGCGCTCAGGGCAGTGCCAGGCTCAGGGTAAGTAATGGCAACAGTATGTGTAGAGAATTGTGACTGTAATATAATATTGTCTAGCTTGAAGGATATCACACAAACCTGAATAAATAAATGTAATTTCCCTTTAGAGCTGGGTTTGTGTTTTATGTCTCTCTGCCGTGTGTTAGAAGTACTCCAATGCTGTGGGAGCTCCATGGTGGCGCCACAAGTTTCTGCTTTGTAATGGTTGAAATATGTGTATAGCGATCTTAAAGCACAGATCCAGCGTTTTTGTTTGAATCCCAGCATATAACCTCCCCCTGCTCCTGTTTTTAAAATAAATTCCAGGATACATACTTTAATTCCAAGAGTCTTAAATTTGATAAGCTCATGCCTCTCCTCTTTTTTTGAACCAATTGCAGTAGGTGGTGCTCTACGCTATAGACTGGTGCTCACATTATGAGGTACAAGTGCTGGTCTATGCAGCTTTCCATTGTTAGCCCAGAGTTTGTAATGACATGCCCCCAAGGGAGGGCTGTCATTGACAACCTGGATTTACAGGAAATGGGTTCAACCCAGAAGAGAACTGGTGCTGGACTACAAAGAGAACTTGGAATGCTGTGCTGGTTCATGGAGAGGTCAAGTATTGATTTTGGAGCTTATGTTTTTTATTGGATGGAGTAAGGGATTAAAAAAAAAATCAACATGCAGTCCAGTTTTAAAAGAAACTACTATCTATTTCTTAGATATACTGTATATGGGAAAGAGACCAGCTTAATTCACACTCTCTTATCAAGGTGTGTTATCATTTAAAAAACTTTGTTTATACGCATAGTTTGTAATTCTGTGTGTGCGTGGGGGCTGACATATGTGCTCATTACATATTCAAAATGTACTTCATGCTGAGCCTCTCATCTCACTGCAAGTCTGCTATAGAGGGTCTGGCTGAAACCAGAAATACCCTCTGTAGCTGGTTGCACCATTGCTTTATTCATGGCAAGAAAAATGTGCTTGTTTAAGTTTGAATATGAATGCAATGCTGACATTATCCTATGAATGGGTTTGAAGATGACATTTTAAAGCAAACATGTATGCTAACTACAGCAACTTAAGTAAGTTGTCTACAAACATATCTTCTATAGGAACCCTGTCCCTTCAACACCATGTGACATTTCACCGAGATGTTTTCACGTCCGTGTAGTAAAGGAAAGACACACACCCTTCCCATCCACAATACTGAGACTGGCATTGTCATGGTGGGGTAGTGTGTGTTAGGTGGGTTTGTCTATGCTTGGGCACAAATTGACTTTTGACTGCAGATAGCTGTAAGTACACAGTCAGCACCAGATGGTAGAGACTTACCGATTATTCTATCTTCTTGTAATTTTTGGAACCCATTCACACATTTCCATGTGAACAAGTTAGGGTGTTCACTTGGATTTTAATGCACGTAATACACATATGGTGTGTTGTATGTGCTATGGAGTGCATTCCCAGTCATTTCTATTGCTCCTAATAAACACACTTGACCCTCAGCGCACCACAATGCATGCAATAGGAAACACTCACACTGCTTTGTGTTGTGCTGGAAAAAAATATGCTTTTTATCTCCTCCATATGCGTTGAGGGCTCATGCAATGTACATTAAGCCGAAAAAGAGAAAACAAGTTTCCCTAAAACCCAACTGCACCTTTTGTAGCAAACAAAAAAAAAAGCAGCTAAAACAATAAAAATTCGCTTTTTTGCAATAGCTAACCTCCTCTACGATGCTATCCCCCAACACTCACTTTTCTTGCTTCCAGCTTCTGGGGACCCTGATTGTCATAAAAGTGCTGTTGTGCTTTAATTGATATACTTCAAGCCCAGTATGTGAATTCAAATAACTGATGAGAGGTGAGATGATCCTTTCCATCCTGCACTTCTGTACAGTTTCGTACAGTTTCTAATTTCAGCAGACTTGTAGCTGATAGTGGAAGTTCATATATTAAGATCTGAAGGACTACAGTTACAGCACAGTTGAGCATGTTGGTTCCAGTGTGTTAGAAACCACTAAAATGTAGGCTTTGAATTCTAGTTACATGTAGCACAGCCTTTGCCAACGTAGGTTCCTGTGCCTCTTAAATATATCAAATAATTGTGTTCTTTGTGCAGCTGCAGCTAGCTACAGAGCACATCCTTTGAGCAGAAATATTATTTTTAGTGCTTGCATCCTTCACCTACATTCGTCCATTCACACTAACTTAATTTCTGGCTGTAAGAGGATGTGTTTAAGTCTTTGAACCTCAAGCTGAAGGTTCAGGAAGAAATGTTTCATAGGGCAGCTCTATATGTAAGTAAATGGGCCATTCTTTGTTACACAATACACCTCCCGAGCCTACACAACACTAAAGTCTGAATCTGTAAAAATCAATATCTTCCTGACACTGTCACTGCCTGAATAGAAGCATTTCTGACACAAAGAAAGTATTTGCAGAGTGAAATGACACTTATGTGGTTGGGAAACATTTAAATGGAAGTCTGCATTGCCACTTTGCAATCGATTTGAGCGTCGGTAAGTGCGCTTTTTAGAGCCGCGGAATAAAAGCAGGTAACACCTTATTCCGCGACGCAGTGCATTCTTCTGTAGCAGATTTAAAGTGGACAATTTGGGTCTCTGTTTGAAAATCGTGAGAAGATTCATTCACACCCATAAATATGCAAAATACTCTATTTATGTATTGTTGTAATTATCACAATTGTAGCTATTAAATACTCTCCGTTTCAGTAATTTACTGAACGGTAGCTGTGTGGTGTCAGAAACTTGCTATTCCCATTATTATTTTGGCAATTATGATTTTACGTTTGGTAAAAGCCATTCTTTTCTTTTCCTTTTTTTTTTAAACAATGGATATTTAAGAATCTCCAAGTTCAGCGTTCAACATTTTGAGCTTTAACTTATTTGCTGTTCTGTGTGCAGCAAAGGAAAATTAGAATCACTTATCTCTATATTCATTCTGGTTTAAAGCTGAACTCCAGAAATAGTACTTATGGGGACTGACTACAGTGCTGGGTTGGCTGCGAGGCCAAGTATATCAGCAGCAGTCCTTCCACAGGGAGAGAACAAGAGATTTTATATGTTTAATGCAGGAAAGGAAATTACTAAGACCATACTGTATGGGAAAGTGAACAATATCAAATCGAAGATATTAAAAATGTTGTGCCCGGAATTCAGCTTTAATGTTTTAGTAAACCGCCAAATAAAAAAACGACAGTTTGGGCCCCCCTGTAGGTGTTTGCTGTAATGTGCTTGTATTCACAACATATTAGCACATTATGGCCAACATACCTTGCAAGCAATCACCTCCAGCGCTACATTGTTAGTGCTCTCCTCTGACAGCGCCTCCATCCTCTCCTGGGTTCAGCAGATTCAGGCGCTTGATTGGCCGGAATAATATAACTCCCACTCAAAGGCATGCAAGTTCCTTCATTTCGGCACAGGACTGCACTGAGCTTATTTGTGTGAATTTGAGGGTTTTTTCTAATAAGAGAAATAAGACTTTCTTTTGTATTAATATCAAATTAATATTTATTTCTATTTCTGTTGTAGTAATGGTAATGTTATATAAAAATTGATTGACCCTAATAGGACTGTTAGGGGAAGGTTTTGGGGCTCATGTACATGGCCAATAGAGGACCGTGCAGCGTACATTTGGGCGTAATGCTCTGCCTGTGAGTCCCAGATGAAAAGTACAGATACAGCCAGATAGCCTGTCCAATGGCAGGCTGACGGGCACTATGGCTGTGCACATATATTATGTGCATCCAAGCAGTAACTGTTTACAGGGAGGTAAGTGCTTCCCCAAATGCAGACAGTCTGTGTTTGGGGCATTGCATACAAACCAGTAGGCAGTTACCACTTGGATGTACGTAATATATGTATATAGCTGTAGCATCTCTTACCCTGCCATTGCATTTGTACAGCCTGGCTGGCAAAAAGAAGGCAAAAGACCTCCTCTGAACTTGTATGAAACACAGTAAAGTCAGTGATGTATCTGCAGTTCTTACTTCCATTAACCATGAGCCTAAAATCAATACAATTATGTAGCAATTGATCTCATCTCAAAATTTACAAAGTTATCCAAAATAAAATAACCCAGCATGTGTTCAGCAATAGGTTTTAGAATTTAAAGGAAACCTTCCATTAGAAATATGAGTCCATCATTACCATCTACCTCCTGAAAATGATTGCTGCTTTGCTTTTATGCAGACCTACCTTGGTCAGCGCTGTCAGATGTGCAGAGCAGGAATGTCAAACCAAAGTCAGGCATCATCATCTACAGGTGAAACTCGAAAAATTAGAATATCGTGCAAAGTTCATTTATTTCACTAATGCAACTTAAAAGGTGAAACTAATATATGAGATAGACTCATTACATGCAAAGCAAGATAATTCAAGCCGTGATTTGTCATAATTGTGATGATTATGGCTTACAGCTCATGAAAACCCCAAGAACCCCAAATCCACAACCTCAAAAAAGTAGATTATTACATGCAATCAATAAAACAAGGATTGTACATAGAAAAATATCGGACCTCTGAAAAGTACAAGCATGCATATGTACTCAGTACTTGGTTTGGGCCCCTTTTGCAGCACTTACTGCCATTACTTTTGCACGATATTCTAATTATTCGAGTTTCACCTGTACATACACTGATTTAAAGTGCTGAAGAAAGAGGGTCAGCATGACAGCCGGGCAACTGGCATTATGAGAAGGAGTAATATCTGCTTTTATGTTTGTTGCATATCTGTTTTTTTTTTTAAAGTGAACCTGTCACACCCTGGGCAATTCCAGCTGAGGATATGACAAAGGTTAACTTTAATGAAAACTGCACATGAAAACTATTAGAAGATAGAGATAGAGGAAGCTGAAGTCATGCAGATCTTTTGCTTAATTGAAGAATTTTTATTTTTTTACGTTTTGGATAGAGGGGGGGGGGGGGCTTCACAC